TAAGCAATCCTGCTGCCTCAGCCTCCTAAGTAGCTGGGACTACAGGCATATGCCACCATGCCCGGCTAATTTTTTTATATATTTAGTTGGCCATTTAATTTCTTTCTATTTATAGTAGAGACGGGTCTCGCTCTTGCTCAGGCTGGTTTTGAACTCCTGACCTCGAGCAATCCGCCCGCCTCGGCCTCCCAGAGTGCTAGGATTACAGGCGTGAGCCACCGCGCCCGCCGGTTTTGTTTTTTTTTAAAAGTCTGTATTTTAATAAGATACTATTCGTACTACATACCTATTTGGAAGATGATGACTGCCAAAGGTTGTACTTCCCCCAGGACCTACAACAACCTCAGTCCTTCTTCTGCAATACACATTGAAATATTTGTTACATGTACAATTCTTAGACTACTGTCAAATAATATGTCGTCATAATTCATAATTTACATTTCATTTCATTAATAAAAAACTTAAAAACAAGTTACATACATGTTTTAAATAGGCAATTTAAAAGATATCCTAACAGTCATTTCTCATCAACCTTCCTTAAGCTCTTTTCTCTTTAAATGAGTAACGAAGCAGCTCTTCCTACAAATTTTCACCAAAACCTTTTTTTTTTTTTTTTTTAGCAACCTGGTTTGAACAATAAAAAATCTTTACCTCCGTATACTTGGTCCCATGGAGACTGTGTTGAGCAGTTGGCAGTCTGGGACAGCACTGTCGGCAGTAGCAGTGTGGAATCTTTTGAAGACTTTGAGAAAAATGGATTTCTGCCTTCATGGAGGATGATAGGCGTTAACTGCAGAAAACATGATTTATCATTATATATGATGCACATCCTTGGGAATATCTAGAAAAACACTTAGGAACATAGCTGAGGTCTAGCAAACAAGCTGGTAGGACCTAGAAGTCAGGAATGTGTACAGTAAATGTTGTACAGAATGTGTACAGGGTTTTGAAGCCAGCAGCATGCCCGTTACCTACCTTTTATCTTGAAAATTAACAATTTATGCCCTCTTTATCTGTTGGGTTCTAATGTTCCTGCCAAATTATATGTACTCTTTGCACTTTTTTTTGCCTTCATGGCTGCAATTATCTCTTGTTTCTACCTGTTCCATTTCATCCTGTATGCTATGAGTCAAGCTAGAATTAGTCAAATTAAGCTGTGCTTATTTTAGGTTGGACGCGGTGGCTCACGCCTGTAATCCTAGCCCTCTGGGAGGCCGAGGCGGGCGGATTGCTCGAGGTCAGGAGTTCAAAACCAGCCTGAGCAAGAGCCAGACCCCCGTCTCTACTATAAAGAAATTAATTAGCCAACTATTATATATATATAATTATATATATATAATAGTTGGCTATATATATATATATTAGCCAGGCATGGTGGTACATGCCTGTAGTTCCAGCTACTTGGGAGACTGAGGCAGGAGGATTGCTTGAGCCCAGAGTTTGAGGTTGCTGTGAGCTAGGCTGATGCCATGCCACTCACTCTAGCCTGGATAACAAAGTGAGACTCTGCTCAAAAAAAAAAAAAAAGCTGTGCTTATTTTATTGTCTTTCCCCGAAACACTCCCTCCTCCCACACCTCACCCTTGACCCATCAGAGCCTAAGCTTTCAATGAGTGGGCCCTGTGTTTTCCCACTGCTGTGTCTTTGTCCAGGCCTGTCCCTGTCTGTCTGCCCTTTATCATGCTGCCCTCCCAGGGCTTTATGGTAGAAATCCTCATGGAACTACATTTACACAGAATCTTTCATTAATCCTACAGCAAAGGGAACAATTTTACCTTATGTAAGCAAAGTATGCAATGTTTCAAGATCTTTTTTCTTTTTGAGACAGAGTCTTGCTCTGTCACCCTGGCCTAGAGTGCAGTGGTGTCATCATAGCTCACTGGAATCTCGAACTCCTGGACTCAGATGATCCTCCCCCCTCAGCCTCCTGAGTAGCTGGGAATAGAGGCATGAGCCACTGCACCTGGCTTGCAATCTTTTAAATAATGGTTCAAATTATTTAAAATTATCACTGAAGAACTGGGTGCCATGGCTCATGCCTGTAATCCTAGCACTTTGGGAGGCCGAGGTGAGAGGATTGCTTGAGGTTAGGAGTTCAAAATTAGGCTGGGCAATATAGTCAGACACCACTTCAAAAAAAAAAATAATTTAAACAAAGTAGATGGGTGCAGTGCATGCCTGTAATCCTAGCTACTCACGAGGCTGAGGCAGTAGGATTGCTTGAGCCCAGGAGTTTGAGGCTGTAGTGAGCTATGATGATGCCACTGCACTCTAGCCTGGGGGGCAGAGCAAAATCCTATCTGCACATACTTTTCCTATTTAACCACTTCGGGACCAGCATTGACTATAGTTGATAGCTACAGATGAACATGCACAGCGACTTTAGCCAACAGCCGTGATATGACTTTTCTAATTTTTCATTTATCAAAATAAAATTGTGGGCCGGGCGCGGTGGCTCACGCCTGTAATCCTAGCTCTCTGGGAGGCAAAGAGATCAGAGGAAATCAGCTTTCCTTTCTCTTGTTAGATGAACTCCATTTTTTAATAGGTTCATTTTCTTTTCTATTAAAGTGCTTGAATAAAATGCATTGATACATCAATTATCCACATCTTAAATCCACAGGGCAATTCGTGCCAGCTTCGACTTCTAGCGTTATCACCACTGTTCATAAGCTCCAGATCCCACCCTAAACAGCAGGGGAAAAAAAAAAAACGTCAAAAGTTTGAGCCGTAGTGTTTGCAATTGTCTAAGTAACCTTGGCCGTCCCTCCCACAGATGGTGCATTAGGCATTTTTCTATTAGGTTTGATTTCCACAAGGTTTACGGTATCACAGAAAAGACTGAAATAGAAAAGTTTATAATTAATACATTGAATTAGTCTATGAACCTCCATACTTATTAATCCATAATAATCTAGTAACATTTCCCAATTCTTTTTTTTTTTGAGACAGAGTCTCGCTTTGTTGCCCAGGCTAGAATGACTGCCATGGCGTCAGCCTACCTCACAGCAACCTCAACACTCCTGGGCTTAAGCAATCCTGCTGCCTCGCCTCCCAAGTAGCTGGGACTACAGGCATATGCCACCATGCCCGGCTAATTTTTCTATAATATATTAGTGG